ACCAAATCAGGATCACCTTTGTCCCCATATTAACACGTATTAAAACGTTAAATAAAATAATAATTAGGTGATTGCTTCTATCATTTCTGGCCAAATCAACAGGCCACCCTTTCCAAGAACTGAAAAACTTATATTCTCGATTTAAAATGGACATTATATAGTCCAGCCCAGATACATATTTTTTACCGACTAAAAGAAAGATCAAAACGAATTCAGACACTCACTTATTTGTACTTCATCAAGAATCACTCATTGTTTTGTAATAATAATATAAAAGGTTTTCGGAATCAAATAAAAATATCTTTATATATATATATATATATATATATATATATATATATATATATATATATATATATATATATATATATATATGGGTGTGTATATATTACCTAATTAAGTCGACGCCACATAGAATGTAAGATATTAGCTCAGGAACCAACGTGCTAAAAGTTGACATATTGATAGGAAGATGAAATGTCTTGGAGTGCTACACTATATCTTTTTTAAAAATTATTTATTGAAATTTACATCTTTATTAAATAAAAAACAACCAGTAAATGTGAACAGAACACTCTTGTTTGGCATGAACACACGTGTCAGAGACCAAATTTTAGCACTCCCTAAAAAAATCTAAGTAAGACGAGCCCGAAGCCATCTTCTTTTCAGATGCATTAGGCCATCCTCAGACGAGGATTATCAGAAATCGAGGAGAAAGCAAGAAAATGATTGGGTTTGGATTGGTCTGACATTTATCATGAAAGGATAGGTACCTAGATCGAACCAAATCAGCGACATAGCTTCACAATATCATATATCACTGGAATATACTTATGGAATATACATGGCTGTATTATCCATGTACCCTAACACTAAAAGCCTCAAAATATTTTGAAACTGAAATCAAAATTTCCGCTATAATCTTTCTTTACTTCATATTGTTTATGCTCCTCAAACTAATTTAGTTTAATATTAATTTGTGAACTTTTTTAAACTGGGTCTCTATACTATTAACTTTGACTACACGGAGGTGTTAAATGAGTGGTAGATAAGGTTTACCCGACATGTATAAGATGATAAATCACCTTATCACTTGAGAAATGGTAAGTACATAAATGGTTTCCTTCTAAAAGGAAAGTAAAATGTTGGACGGTCTGAAAGAGACTGGGTGTTTGATGAAGAAAAAAAAACATTTATTATTGGAAATGTCACGTCAAGAAGTCCATTAAAGTAAATCTCACTTGACTTTGAAAGTTGCAAAATTACATCGATTTCGTAAAATGTAAGTGGTTAGTTCCAATCTATGTGGGAATATCGTCCCCCCTTGAAAAATCGGTTATTTCCAGTTCTCTTAGGAGGCGTTTCTATTTTTTCCAAGTATATTCTTCTTCCATGGCGCTACAACTGAGGTATAGTTACATTCCGAATCTATATATGAAACATAAGAAATTCAAAGAGTGTTATAATTCTACAAGATGTTTTCTTCACCAATTAATTCAAATAACGACGTTGAAATAACACTATAAACTTCGTTCTTATTGTAATAATTGTTATGTTAAACGATATTTCGGTTTTGATCAAAAGTAATGCACATGGTAAAAAAAACACATCAATTTTTAAAAAAATAATTCAGATATTGCAATGGTTGGGTCATTATTAACAGATAGGACACATGTCTCATCGGCATACGTGGTAATGATAATGTTAGGAGGGTTGGGATATCAGCTGTATAAACTGTATAAAGGATAGGACCTAGGATAGTACCTTGAGGATTGTTTCTAAAGAGAACATTATTCAATTAGTTTCACTCAATATCTACAATATTTTTAATAAAGAGTCATTATTATTATTTTCTTATTTATTTTTAAATTTAATTTCATTACTAGTTTTTAAAATTATTTAAACTTAGCACTTATTCATCTAAAGGATAGGACCTAGGATACTACCTTGAGGATCACCAGCGGACTAGGAAAAGGGGGACGAATAAGCATTATTCTGATTTACTTTGAAGTATCTACCAGTTAGGTAGGAACGGCTAATGAGGAAGTATGTAGAATGTAGGACTTTACGGAGTAAATTCTTCAATCACACATCACAAACCTTGAAGAATGGTGTCAAAACTGGAGTATAAAAATAAATTACAATAAATACCATCAAACCACCTTTACACTTCGCCGTAAACCTATGAGCTCCTGTCCTACAGTATCCTCTAATAATACCCCACTTATCCCTGTTGAACAAATCCGATACATTAGACTCCACTTGGACAAACGTTTAACTTGGAATCCTCATACCAGACTTGAACGACAAGAAACCGCTCGACGTTTCCGACTACTTAACACTTTCTAGACATACGCTCTATGCTTCCAGTTAATTACAAAAGACTCATATACATGACTAACATAAGACCTATTTGGACTTACGGAGTTGAGCTTTGGAGCTCCACTAAACCTTCGAATTCCTCTCATATCCAATCCTAACAATACAAAATCCTGATTAAAATCTTCAATGCTCCTTAATTCGTCAGGATCCTTCCATCCTACCATAACAAACTTCAGAACCATCCAAACCCTCTCGTTTATAATCTTGCTTCCTCCTCGAACCATGCAGTTGTAAATAAATACAGTTGTAAATATCATAAATAATAATAATAATAAAAGTTCATATATAACATTTAAAGTACGCTGTAGAAAGAGTAAATTAAATTTGGGTAAATTAAATTCACATATTACCGTAACACAATTTTTTGAAGCCGTTTTGTCAATGAAATTCAATAAACTTTTGTAATTTTTGAAATACTGAAACATGAGAAATTTATATTCCAATATTAATTACCTGATAAGACTGGTTATCCGAATTTATTTAGCTTCTGTTTTAAAATCCTTCTGAAAAATATTACACTATATATAATACTTTAAAACATTAGAACAATAACATTATAATTGAGTGGAAAAGTATTTTGAAAATATCTAATTTTGTACAATTTAATTTTTTTGAACAGATTTATTATAATTTTACCACTAGAACCCCTTCACTAGAAATAGCTTGAAACCTGACTATGACATACTTTAAAGCCGAAGGAACATGTTTGAACAAATTTTAAAGTCATTATAGAATTTTTGCCGATGTCACGAGTTTTACCTCACTGTCCTACTATGCCTTCGTTCGCCCAATAAACACTCACCAATAGTGTTTATGGTGGTACCCGGTTTGTTACCCAGCAACTGGCTTACGCGGATGTATTTTTAGTGCGTTTTCACAAGTAGTACCCAGCTAATACCCGCATCCGGATAATCATTCATAGATAAATTTTTCGAGTATCTCGTGTTGCAGTGACCAGTAGCGGGATAATTTACCCGGTGTTAAAGTAACTATATTACCGGAAACCGAGTACCACATTCGATCACAGGATGGCATATTTACTATACCGATTCGACACCTCAACTCAGCCTGCCCGCTGGGGAACTTAAGCCGTTTAAAATTAATATTATATATATATATATATATATATATATATATATATATATATATTATTGATGATTAAAGTTATATATATATATTTAGGGGGCGGGGTGACCGAATGGGCTAAAGCGTGTGCAATGCACCGCCGTTGCCCGGCAACCTGACATATGAATCATAGATATCTAGGCGTCCCGGTGCCGGGGGAGTCTTTTAAATCCTCGCTCTCACTCCCTGGCCCGGGAAAACCTCATATAGCCTTAAAGGCGAGAAAGGGAGGACCCAAAATAAATATAATAAATATATATATATATATATATATATAACTTATGCGACTGTGAAATAGAACGATAAAAAAAAGGAGAAAAGGTTGATAAATGACTCACACGGCTTCAGAAACAATACTGCTTTATTTGTGAAGTAATCCTTCTTATATACATTTCAGAGCTTTGTTTACATACCAGGAAGGTATTAAGGCTGATACTGCCCGACTCCTGTCCTTATCTTATATATATATATATATATATATATAAACAAAATTACTAATTTTGTTTTAATTATTTTTTTACTTACAAAAGGCAAGAGAAATAATTGCTAAGAGTAAATAATTAAAAAATAATAATAATAATAAAATAATCAGGAGCAAGATTAAAATAAAATAAAAAAGAAAATAATAATGAGCGCTTTTTATTTAAAATATTGTAGATATTTATTGACGCTAATTCCATAATGTTCTTCTTAGAAAAAAAATATATGGTTAAAGATTGCCGTACAAAATTATATATAATATAAAAAACAATTTTTTTATAAGCGATTTAATTAATTTTATATAAGTGATAATACAAACATTTTTTTATTTAAGTAATTAAAAATGGCTTTATAGTAGACACAATTTCCTTCAAACACAAATACAGTTTATCTTTGTTAAAACCATTCAAAGGGGACTTTTGATCGGCCAAACTACGCTAAGTTGCGTTTTTCATTAAATCATGGATACTTTGTGATGTTTTTTTATCATCCTACAAATACCCCTTTTTTTTTTAGCTTGCTTTTTTAATAAACTTTAATTGCATATGAATTTAGTAGAGGTTTATTGTAGAATAGAGTTTTACCCTCGGCTTAGCACAATATACGAAATTTCTAACATTCACTAACGTTTCCTTTAATATTTGATGTAATACTTGTTTGATACTACTACTTGATATACTCCATTTCAAGAAGGAAGTGAGAAAGATATGGGATATATGGGTAAATATGGGATGGGGACGTCAAGTCGAATCAAAGTATATGTATAGATTTATCAAAAGTAAAGAGATCAGTGAGATGCTTAATTTCAACTTTATTTTGTAAGTTTTTCTTGATCTATAATAAAAAAATAACAATCCACTTCATTAATATCCACTTTAATTGCAGTGAAGAAAGATTTTTCGTACCGCACCCAACGGAATGTCATGTGATATACATAGATCCAACAGAAAGTTAAAAAATAAATGTTTGAAAAAGTGAATATTATGTTTATAACATTATATATTTTCTTACAGGTTATTGGAGGTACCAGTGTACTCAATGGCATGATGTACATACGTGGAGCCCGCAGAGACTACGATGATTGGGCCCAGATGGGTAATGTTGGATGGAGTTACCAAGACGTGCTACCCTACTTCCTGAAATCAGAAGACAACGAAGAGGCCGAACAGATGGATCCAGGTTACCATGGAGTTGGAGGCCTCTTATCGGTTTCTCGATTTCCGTATCATCCTCCACTGTCGCATGCTATCATCCAGGCCGCTATGGAGCAAGGATATCCAGTTCGTGATCTCAATGGCGAATCAAACATGGGATTCATGATTGCGCAAACTACAACAAGGAATGGTAGCAGATTGAGTTCATCGAAAGCATTTCTACGACCAGTGAAAAATAGGCCAAATCTTCACGTTATGTTGAATTCAACTGTAACCAGAATTTTAATTAACCAAACAATGAAAGAAGCTTATGGAGTTGAAGTCTTCACCAACGGCCGTCTGGAAACATTTTTGGCTAAGAATGAGGTAATTTTAAGTGCTGGAGCAGTGAACTCGCCTCAGATTCTTCTGCTGTCCGGAATCGGTCCAGAAGCAGATCTAAGAGCTCTTGGAATACCTGTCGTTCATAATTTGGATGGAGTTGGGAAAAACCTTCACAATCACGTTGCTCATTTTCTCAACTTCTTCATAAACGACACAGCCACTACACCTTTGAACTGGGCCACTGCAATGGAATATCTATTATTTCGGGATGGTCTTATGTCAAGTACTGGTCTCTCAGAAGTTACAGGGATCATAAATACCAGGTAATTTCTTCATTGATAGTGGTATTATTTAAAAGCTAATTACAGATTCCATAAACTTCTTCTGTTCCATCTCCAATAATATTACAAAGCGTTTTCCAATTCCTCAAAATTTCACCGTAAACAAAAACTACTGGGTTCTTTTTACTTTTTTTTTCATAAAATATCAAACCTCTCTTCTTCCTATTATTTAAATAAAGTAGATTTTGAGCTAGTTAATCAAGGTTGCGATGAAATCTCATTCAGAATCCTTAGAATCCCACTTACTAAAGAAGGCTCCATGAAAGAGACTTTTTTTTATTGAATGATACCATCATTGCAAAAAAAAATTAAAATGTATAATACTGATCAACCAAAGTCTCCAAGCAATCTAGGTTTGCCACTGCTCTCTGCCAGGAATTACTCAGAGTAAAATTTCCACACCTCTTTAAAGAACCCTATTATTATCCTTGATCAAACCCTTCCATGGAAAGATTTTGTGTCTCATAATACCAGGCTAACTATTTCTATCCTCCTATTCCCTTGACTCCTCACTAAACATTTCCTTTCCCAATTACTTTTTACCCAAGGTACTCAAAGGATTAAATCTCTTAAATATTGGTAAACGATTAATCTGTCAATGCTTCCCCAATTCACATAATATCAGGACAGAAATACCAACATTACATAAATGCAGACCAAATAAAGTACATTATACATCGACAATCCTGAATTCGTAACATTTTAATTTTATTTTTTATTTTTATAGATTTGCAGACAAAAGTGGGGATTTTCCCGATCTTCAAATGTTCTTCGGTGGTTTCTTAGCAAATTGTGCACGTACTGGTCAGGTATGATTTCGCTTATGATTCATAATTTGTTAATATTTAATAGAGCATAATTATCACTAAACAAAAAAATAAATAACTATAAAAAATGCATATTGTACTGTTTGAACTTAAGAAATACCATGCCGTCCAAATCTAAATGGTACTGAGCTGCAAGGTTTCCATTTTTCATAATTAATAAAACAGGTTTTTAGATTAAAATATTCAAGTACTCTTAGATTAAAATGAAATTCTATATTCGTAGAATTTATCAAAATGTTTTAAATGTCAACTGCATTTTCACATAGTGATTAAAAGTTTATCTAGCTTTTCTAGATATCCAAGCTACTTTTGGCTCTGTGCCACGAATCGAAATATGGAAGGCACTGGAGGCAAAGATTGTTTCTGGGGAACTTATAGATGCCATAAAATCATCCTATAAAAATTCAAAGGGAAAAGTCAGGATCAATGGAAAGGAGTCTGGAACCTTCGATATGAGAAGGGGCGTTAAACAATGAGACCTTCTAAGCCTCTCTTCTCTTTATTGTGCTGATGGATGAAGTACTAAAAATATGCAAACGAAGGACGGCACGATCAGTAGTCGGATTTTGGAACCTGAGGACAGTTCTTGCACACATCTCTATGCGGATGGCATAGTTCTCATAGCTGACCCTGCCCAGAGTCTTCGGCAGGCTGTTGTGGAGTGGGAGGTGGAGCTAGAGAGGAAGGGCATGATAAGAAACTCCCATAAAAGTAATGTCATGCAAATCGGATGTGTAGTTGAAAATGTGCGTATTACTTGTAGAGAAGAGACTCTAGAAAACTTCACTTACCTAGGAGCAGTTATCAACAGAAATGGTAGACTAGATCAAGAAATATCCAGCAGGACCCAAAGGGCAAACAACTTATAATACCATATATACAACACTGTTGTTGGGAAACGGAAAGTCGAGAAAAAGGTGAAACTACACATTTTAACACGATCTATCCCCACACTCCTATATTGCGAGCTGGGTTCCTCTCGACAAGAATTTAAGCAGAGTCACTTTAGCGGAGATGAAGTATCTTAGAAAAGTAGCCGGACGAACTCGGAGAGACCTTATTAGAAATGAGAGAATAAGAGAAGAGATAGGGTTGAAACCCTTAGTTCAGAACATAGAGAAGAAGCAACTGAAGTGGTTCGGTCATATATGCCGAATGAAGGCAGACCGCGAACCACGCAAGTTCTTGGGAGCAAAACCAAGTGGTAAAAGACCAAGAGGCAGGCCAAGGATGGATCGTATGGCCCGGTTGGGAGAGAGAAGAGGTAAGCGACTAAGCGAGAAGAGGATTCCATGAAGACGCTGGCGGAGAAACGGGGCAGATGGCATGCTTAGATCGAGTCACTTCCACGCTGAGAGGCACAAAGGACAAAGGAAAATAAGAAGAAGAGAAGAAGATTAAAAATCCGCTTGTACTCCTTGGTTTATTTGCTTCTCATATACATTGGTTGGTTCAACTCTTATAAATTGTTGATGTTTCAATTCCTGTTCCAAAGTTCAAAATTATATCAAGAAATTTTAGAGATTAGACATTGTTATGGTACTGATTTGTAATAATAATATATTTAGTTTAGACTGTTTTCAATTAAAATAATTTATTTAATAATGAAAGACACATATATGTTAAGAGAAAATTAGACTCTTTTACTAATTTTAACTCATGGAAAATAAATTAAAATTTAGTTAATATGTTGATGTACAGTTGGATTAATTGATTTCTTATTTTCAGGTTGGTGAAAGAGAAGATGGAAGCAATGCTTCCACTTCTAATCAACGAGTCATTAACTTTACTCCAACACTCCTGCATCCACGTAGCAGAGGTACAATTAAATTAAGAAGCCGAGATCCATTTGCACCCCCATTGATAAATGCAAGATATCTAACTGATCCTCAAGATATTGAAGTCTTAGTAGATGGTATAAAACTTGCTATAAAGCTTTCTAAATCTAAAGCATTTGAAAAATATGGTCTTAAAATAGACAGAACTCCTGTAAGAGGATGTGAAACCCTTGAATTTGGATGTGATGCTTATTGGAGATGCGCTGTTACAAGAGATACTGGACCAGAAAATCATCAAGCTGGAAGTTGTAGAATGGGTCCACGAGGTGATCCAGGGGCAGTTGTAGATCCACAACTAAGGGTTCATGGTATTGATAAGTTGAGGGTAATGGATGCATCTGTAATGCCTAAAGTAACTTCAGGAAACACTAATGCTCCAACAATAATGATTGCAGAAAAAGGATCTGACATGACCAAGAACAGATGGTTAGGCGCTCATGTGTGGAGAAAGTGGTAACCCACAACTCTTTGAACCAAAAATTTAGGGTTGATAGGAAACATTCTTTTTTTGAGCATACGTTCTACTATGTTCATCAATGTGTTCATACCAAATTTGAATTTTATTTCAGAAATGTTCCTTGTCATGATTCCTTACATACATATCAGCCATTTCTTGAAGAGATGAGTTTATAGTATATTCAAAATGAAATTTTAAAAAAATGTTTAGATATAAAAACAACTTAACAAATGATAAGAAAATTATCCTTTTTCTTTTGAGCACCAATCAAAAATAATTCTGTTTTTGAATTCAAAATTGTTATCCACTAGTGTTGCTAATAAATTATTTAAGATGGAATCATAAGATTGACCATTTTACTGTAATATTGATAACTTTTAACTTTGGTACGGTACAATATTTATTTTAATGAATAAAAAGTTTCTAACTTCACAAAAGTATTCGTCAATAATATGTACCCAAATTAATCAAGATTATTTAATGAAAGATGATTTATTTATTATAATTGTATAAACATTCATATGACTGTTAACTTAGTTGTTTGTTAATCAATAACATAAATCTTTTTTTGTGAGTTATCATTATTATCATTACCAAATATGTAAGGTGTGTTTATGACAATGCCTAATTTCCAAGTATCTTTTGATTTCCAGATGAAAATGATAGGTGTTTATAATTATTTTATTTTATTATTTTTTTCTTCAAGAAAATTGTTGTTATATCTATATTACCCTACAATGTAATGTTTTATATATTTAGATATTAAATTACACCTTCACAGAAATGCTATTGTGATTACTTTACATGCCTATATTTGATATTTTCAAATATTTGTTAGTTCTTTAGATTAATATATGGAAATAGTAACATTTTCCTTCAATATATTTTTTAGGGTTACAGTAATTTATCATTTTTTTTTTTTTTTTTTATAGAAAACCATAAAATAAATAGATAACAAAATTCTGTACCGTAAATTTGTCCACTACTAATTTTCAGTAATCAGATGAAAAAAAAAAGTTAAATCATGTCCAATTAACTAAATAAAACTTGCGTTTTAGTAAGTGTTTCTTAGAGGAAAATATAGGCATGGATTAAAGCAATCTTCTTTTTATCTATTTTCACTCTGGTGGCCCAAAATTTTGATTTTCAGTGTAAATATATCTGTAAATATTTATTTTATTGAAAATATATTAAATCATTATTTAATAAAATATATAATGTCAAAATTTATTTGATGGTATTTTTTTATATGTCTATTAAAAAACAATATATAAAACATAATTTATTAAAAATACAGTTTTTTGATATAAAAGAGAGGATTAAAAAACATTGAAATTCTTCATTTTATTTATATACTTTTATTCAGTATTATTAGTTATATAAAAACTAATTTAAACATTTATTGATTTTCAAATAATAGTGGAAGTTTAAGTTAAAATATTATTATGATAAAAATTATTACTTTATAATCACAACCAAACAAAGTGAAGCAATACTGGGAACAGATAGGCCAGAGTTGCCGGTACCTATTTTAAGAGCATAAAGTAATGATTTCTACAGTGATATTTTTAAACTCAAATATAATATAGAATAATATGACAAATCACGGGAATATGTTGCATCCTGCTTTTAAAAGAACCAAATGAAGACAATAATCAATTATCGTAAAATACTATCAGACACAATCCAGCCTTAATTTTTAAACTTTTCAATAAATTACAAGTTACCTTAAGTGGAGTTTGCATTTTATTACAAATAAAAATATGTTATTATACATTAATTTTTGCTTTCTATTTATTGCAACATAGGATTAATTACATAGTTGTCTTGATATTAATGAAATAGTTGTTGTTAATTGATATTATCAATTGAGGGTTCGTCAGTAACCAGGGATTTATTCCTTAGCAAGTATTTATAGAAAACAATAAAATGAATTCATGATAAAAGTAAGTATAAAAAAAAGTTATTTTAAATATGCATGCAATGATAATAAGTTTATAAGGTATTTTGTTAATTTGTAATAATTGCTATTAGCAATTATCAATTAACATTGATTTCTTTTAAATAATCATGTTTATTTTAAATTGTATAATAATTTAAATTATTTCATAATGCACACATTGTTTTCTCCAATGTTTTATATTTTGTAATTTTGATACCGACTAAAACTTTTACTTTCTATAATTGTATATTTATAAATATATAATAGTATATTTATATTTGTAAAAATATAATTATAAAATTAAATTTATATATTGATATTGCTGTATTATTTGTTATAATTATTCATTTTTCTTAGAAGACATAGAATATTTACTTTTGTTTCTACTGTTAATTCATAAATCATACATGGTTATTGTTATATATAATTCACAATGTTTATTATACTTAAAAAGAATAATTTCTTTATATGACGAATCCTTATACTTTACTATAAATTATTTTGTACTATTAGTAATGTATTAATTTTAATAAATTATACCAAGGAGTATTTTTTTTTTACTGTATTAATATTTTTTTTAACCTTTATATTCTCCCTTATATTCTTTTGAGAGTAATATTATAAATGTATAATATGTGTCATTATAAAAATATTAGAAAAATTCTATAGACACTTTATATAACATACTTCTTTTTAATTTCAATTACCAAGCTTTATTCAAAACATGTACTTTTTTGCTTTTAAATTTTAGCACATCTTTCCACCTCATTACAAGAAATACTTAGATCTAAGAAAATCTATTAAACAATCTTTACACTAAACAATCAAAACAAAAAAAAGATGGTATCTCAATTCTTTATAATTACAATTTCAAACATATACACGCACACAATATATATATATATATATATATAGAAGGAAGCTAGTCGACTGCTCTACATACCATGGGTGATAAATATTCAGGACGCACTAATTATAAAAAAATTTTCATATTGACTATTTAATAGTTGACCGTTGCATTGTAAAGGAAGGAGATGGTCCGGGGTCATAAATAGGCTAAATAGTGGTAAAACTATTTTTATTAAAAGCCAACATTTCAACCCGACTTTGCAGGTCTTCTTCAGGGTGGTGTGTTCAGCTAGGAGTTTCACTTAGAACTGATCCAGTTGGCTTTTGGCTGGAAACGTTGGCTTTTAATAAAAATAGTTTTACCACTATTTAGCCAATTTATGACCGCCACCCCGGACCATCTCCTTCCTTTATAATTTTTTTTTATTTGTGCCGATGTTTCAACCCAAACATATTGGTCATCATCAGGGCGTGGTTCGAGCACTGAAGGCTTTCAAGTACCCATCATCATGGGTGATAAATATTCAGGATGCAGTCATAAAAAAACAGTACTTGAAAGCCTTCAGTGCTTGAACCACGCCCTGATGATGACCTACATGTTTGGGTAGAAACGGCACAAATAAAATAAATTTATAATGGCTGCGTCCTGAATATTTATCAGCCACAATATATGTATATATGTATATATATATATATATATATATATATATATATATATATATATATATATATATATATATATATATAAGTTAGCTGTATATAAGCCATAAATAATAATAAGAACTATGTTACTGATAGGATTAACAAAACATTGTAAGTGAAAACAAACTGTTACTATATATATAGGATGAAGTAAATAATAAAGTTAGTTGCTCACGAACCTGTGTACTGTTACTATGCCCTAAAACCCTTTTTTTTCGATCAGTCTTTCAGTCTAATCGTAAGTGGTGCCGAAAGCCGGGAGGAATTCCGAATTTTATCGCGCGGCTAATAGTATCGTGAATTTCGGAAAAATCACTTGGCGAACTCACACAAGCTTCTAATCAATTGATAATAATTATGATGGAAGAAGAATTGAAGAAGCTAGAGTACCAACTTGCTCAGGCTGCAGTGGAGAGACAGAAATTGGAAGCGGAGCGTCAGAAACTGGAAACGCAGCTATCGAAAGCGACCGAAAACACGCAGATCGAGTTGCTTAAGATAAGGACGCAGAACTCGGCATTTATTCACGAGGTAATTAGCCAGTTAGAACCGTTCACAGGTGTAGTAGGTGACCTCGAACATTTTATCAAAGGTGCTGACCAGATTAAAACTTTGATTACCGCCAGACAGGAGGCAGGCACGTTGCTGGAGTCTGACGTGCGAATATTGGAAGCCTCTTTGATTGGTCGTATCTCGCGGCGAGTTTTAAACGCCGTACAGGGCGATTTGACGGTCTCCTGGGAGACGCTGAAGATACGGCTCAAGAAGTTATACGGCGGTGGCAGGTGGACCCCGGAAGAGGATGTTTTCTACTTGTTTAAAGAGCGTAGAACCCAGGGCCAATCGGAGGGCGAGTTCGCCGAAAAGTTATTGGTATTATACAATAGACTGACGGAGAAGATGGTGGAAACGTGCGGCCAGGCGGAAGGAGCCCAGAAGATGGAATTTCTAAGGGGTGTGCTAAAGGTGCAACTAAACCATTATGTGGACCGTCCGGGATCACTACCCAGAGACCGCGATTTTATCGAATGCGCCCACGACCTGGTCGATGCGAGGGAGCGGAATGAAACCCGCTTCGAAAAACCGGAAGCGGAATGGACGGAAGTGAGATCACCGAGAAGGCGACAACGCAGTATTACGAGGAGGAATAACACTAACGGAGGCTTCGAAAAGCGACCAAGCAAAGGCTTCGAAGACGGAAGACGGAAGCCGGGGCGCCGTTGCTACGAATGCAATCGTACAGGGCACGTAGCGGCCCAATGTAAGCTCACGAGGTGCTACGAGTGCGGCAGACAGGGGCACGTTGCGAGAGAATGTCCAAGGCGCAACCCCCGACCGAACAGAAGGGAAGCACAGCATGAGCCCATGGAGATCAACAACCAGGACTGGAGCGGAAGACGGACTGGTAGGAGAGGCGGGGGACGCTACACCAGCGGAGAATCCTCGGAGGACGAAAGCATCCGGTCTGGGCGCAGTCGTCCGACTACGAGAAGGCAAGAGGTGAGTGGGGGGAATCCCTGGAGGGGGGGATCGTCAGGAACGGAGGTAGCGGTGGGACGCGCGCGCTCGGACTGAGGACGCGGCAACGGGAGGGGCAACCGACCGGGGGGTTTAATTCTTAACAACAGCGCGAAAACAGCACAGCGGACAAGGTTGCCCGTGGCGAGACTGAGGGAATCCGGCATCAAATTTCTTATTGACACGGGGAGTACGAATTCCTTAATCAATATAGGGGCGGCGGAAAAACTGGGAATCTGGGCAAAACGGGAACGATGCGACTGCGCGGTGTCAACGATTCATGGCAGGGGGCAAACGCTAGGGGAGACACTTTTTGACCTCAAGGAACTCACGGGACGTGACTCGCGGTTCACGATACACATAATTTCGCAGTTGATGCAGGGTCAGGATCTAATAGTCGGGTGCGACATTTTAAACCACGTTGGGTTTAGTATTAAGAATAGGAACGAGACATGGCGGTATAGGATAGGGGAACGATACTACGAGGTAAAGATGATAGGAAGTAGGGGACTCATGGAAGTCGGGGCCGTGGAATGCATCAAAGACTCGCTAGCAAACTTAGTCGCGCAAAACAAGGATTTATTCTACCGCGAAAACGAGTACCTACCAACCACGGGTCGAACGGTGCATAGAATAAATCTGAAGTCGGAAGCTGCAGTTTACGTTAAAAATCGGCGTTACCCGCAAGCTATGAGAGAGATTATCGGGGAACAATTGGCAGAACTCCTTAAGCAGGGCATTATTAGACAGAGTAATTCCCCCTTTAATAGCCCTCTGTGGGTGGTAGAAAAGAAGCAGGGCGGCAACGCGAAACAGTATCGAGTCGTAGTTGACTACAGGAAACTGAACGAGGCGACTAAGGACGAGAGGTATCCCCTTCCTCGGGTCGACGATATTCTTGATCGACTGTCAGGGGCGACTATTTTTAGCACGCTGGACTTAAAGAGCGGGTATCACCAGGTCCGGATGGCAGAGGAGGATATTGGTAAGACGGCTTTTTCGTGGGAAAGGGGACACTTCGAATTCGTTCGAATGCCGTTCGGGCTAAAAGGGGCCCCACTGACGTTCCAACGCCTTATGGACGAGCTACAGCGAGGACTGGGAGAATCCTACTCACAGGTCTATATGGACGACCTCATCGTTTTTAGTGAAACTGAGGAGGACCACGTGCAACACCTCAAACGCGTTTTTGACAGGGTGCGCGAATTCGGCCTAAAGTTATCTCGGGAAAAGTCTCAATTCGGGTTACGAGAAATCAGGTTTCTAGGACACGTAGTCTCACGGAACGGGGTACAGCCGGACCCGCAGCGGGTAAAGGCCATCCTGGAAGCACCATTACCTAAGAATGCCCGAGGGGTCAGGCGATTTTTGGGTATGATAAATTACTATCGGAAGTTTATACCCGGAATAGCGGAACTTACGCATCCATTGACCGAAACATTGAAAAAAGGGAGACGGTTTCAATTAGGTCCAGACCAGCTAGCGTGCATTAAGAAATGTCGGGAGATTTTGACCACTCGGCCACTACTAGCTTTCCCCGATTTTGCTAAATTGTTCAAAATCACCACAGACGCCAGCGAGGTAGCTATCGGGGCCGTGCTCTCTCAGAATTTCGAAGGTGGCGAGAAACCACTAGCATACGCGGGGCGGAAGTTGAACGAAGCAGAACAACGTTATAGTGCAATCGAGCGCGAGCTTTTGGCGGTAGTATGGGCCGTGGAATACTTCCGACCATACGTGTACGGAAGACGGTTTGAGTTACTGACCGATCATAAGCCTTTATTGCACCTCGGAACTCTTAAAGAATCTTCTGCACGGGTATCACGGTGGAAGGAGCGTCTAGCGGTTTACGACTTCCACGTAATACATAAAAAGGGCGTCGACAACGCGGTTGCCGATTGGTTATCACGAGACCTAGTAGTAAACGCGATCGAGGACGAGGAGGTCCTGACAGAACCATTTGCGCTACGATATCTACGCGAGTGGGCGGAAGGCGGACCAGAGATTCCTTTAGTCCAGAGTGAGGCCGAGGAAATTGCTACACCGACGGACAGACCCGCGGAACTGCCCGAAGTAGACGAAATCATTAACGATAAAAGACTGCAGATCATTATCAAATCAAAGCAGGACTCCGGAATAGAAACCAGGGCGAGCACGTATGAAGGGTTGTCAACTATATTAGTTCGCACCCCCGCATCTATAGACGAAAACGCGTTAGAACGTATATTCGTGGAATTCAGTAACCCAGGACGGAATTGCTATGTCTACGTGGGTAATCGGATGATTGCGGAAAAATTGAAGCGGTTATGGCGCCAGGAAAGGATAGGAATGGGGTACACGCTAGTGCGGTGTTTACGTCAGGTAGAAACGATTACAGAACCAGCGGCACAACAGAACCTGGTAACGGAACACCATTCTGGGAAAACAAATCACCGAGGAATAGAGGAGACTGTTCGGGCATTGAAATTGCTCTATTATTGGAAAGGTATGGGCCGTACCGTACGGGATTGTGTAGCACAGTGCGAGGTCTGCCAAAGAGCGAAGTACGATCGTCAACCTCCGGTAGCCGAACAGGTAGTCACCCCTACCGCTACAGAACCCCTGCGCTCCCTACAGGTAGACGTTTATTCCAACGAGGGGCAATCATGGGTAACGGCGATAGACCCGTTCAGTAAAATTGCAATGGCCTATCCCATTGAGTCGAAAACTCCTGGGGCAGTTTGGGAAGGGATCTTGCAATGGTGCGCATTTTACGGTGTCCCAGACGAAATCGTCTCAGATTGCGGTAGAGAGTTCGATAACTCTCTAATTCGAGATGAGAGCAAGATATTGGGCATTAATTGGCGGTTGAACACCCCACATCACATTAAGGGAAGGGGCGCCGTGGAACGGCTCCACAATACGCTAGGCGAACACTTGCGGCTGCTCAAGTTAGGTCGTAACCTCGATCCATTCGATGCTATGCCACGTGCTGTCATAGCCTACAATAATACTATTCATGCCGCGACGGGATTATCACCAGTCGAAATTGTGTTCGGACAGAGGCGACGGGATAGAGGGGATCTCATCACGGTTAACAATAACGACCTTAGAGCTAGCATGTATCAGGCGAGAGTAGGGCGGCAAACCACGTGGGCGAAGGTACGAGAAAAATTAGTTCGAGAGAAGCATACCCGGGTGGCTAAGGCAAATAACCGACCCATAGTTTATAGAAAGGGCCCGTTAGCGCTGGGAACCATAGTGTATAGACGATTACGGACCGCTCGCACTAAAACAGCCGCGAGATATGAGGGACCTTATAAAGTCATCACCATACGGGAGAATAATCTATTTACTATCAGGGATGTAAATTACCCGTTTCGGTCACGTACGGTACACCTCGAAGAACTTCGGGTACCCCAGGTCATGCCAGAAAACGAGACGGACGGCGGCGCCCAGCCTGGACCATCTCACGGCTAGGAAGTTTTCTTTTCTTATTTTTCATTTTTATGTTTTAGCAATCTTGATTAATCTTCGTTAGATAGCATTATAGAAGTAGAGTGGAAATTTTTTTTTTCTTTTGTTAAATTTCATTGTATATAGCTTAAGGTATTGTATTTTAGGATATCTGTATTTTCTTTCGTTTTAGGTATAAGTATGTTAAGCAAGTGAATCTGCTACTTATTTTTTTTTTTTTGCTCTTTTGGAAGTGTTTGAATTGTGTTTGATGTTCTATTTTTTTTTTATTATTTTATTTGTTATTATTATAAGTTCCTCCATACGAAGGAACTGGAGGGAGGGAGTTAGCTGTATATAAGCCATAAATAATAATAAGAACTATGTTACTGATAGGATTAACAAAACATTGTAAGTGAAAACAAACTGTTACTATATATATAGGATGAAGTAAATAATAAAGTTAGTTGCTCACGAACCTGTGTACTGTTACTATGCCCTAAAACCCTTTTTTTTCGATCAGTCTTTCAGTCTAATCGTAAGTTATATATATATATACAAATTAAAATAGTTCCTTCTTCAGAATTTTTTGCTTGAGTCCTAATGCTTGAGGACAGTATAAACCCTAATAACAGAACCACTCATCAGCATGCATATATATCTGATGAAATGTATAAATAAATTGGTAATCACATGAAATAAAGATCAAAAACTTATATTTTATACTTCAGTTAATAAATTATTAGTATGAGAAAAATGAGATAATGATAGGATAAAAAAGAAAAACAGTCCAAGTGATTGTTAATTCTATTTATTGAAGCAGAAAAAGGCCTCCATTATGATAATGAATTGACAATTAACTGTGATCATATTATAGCTTTGAGATATTCAATGCACTATTACAGATAATTTCATTTTAATCAGATATTATTATAGTTCTAATCATACAATTTTAGTGACTAAAAAGTTTATATATATTTTAAGTATATAATTTTGAGAACTTAAACTAAAAATATATCATGGAATGGGTTTATTGAGGATAGAAACATTTATTTTGAAATACTATTATAATCTAAATTCTAAATATGTCCTCTTTTGATACAAGTCAATTATTTAAAGGAAAATTGCTAAATCAATGAATTCATACAATTTGCATCTATCTTAGGATATTAACTGAGGTTTTTTAATAAATATGTCATTCTTTAAGTCAATGAAGCAATATAATCATACTTTAACTAACAATCTTTTATTATTTATATTTGTATTTACAAAGGAAGTTTCAAAACCAAAAAAAGGTATAAAAATGTTTTCTTAAATGAATATAATTTTGATATTATAAAATTAAGAAATGTAAAACTTATAATATGGAAATAACTTATTAATTGTAATTATTGATCTTAATTGTATACCAGTTCACAATCCGTTCACATCTTAGGTCTGTTGAATAATATTAGAATTTACTCAACAAAAAAGTATTCATAAAACTATCAAGACTGAAAACGAGCTTCATCACTTAAAATTATTTACTTTCATCTGATAAAAAGCTTTGTTCATTCAGCCATCTTCAGGAGTATTCGGTAAGTTTTATTGATGCTGTCAGTAAACCAAGACTGCTTCAACTAGAAATTAGCAAAGTCTGCCAAAGATAGCCAGGTGGCTGAAGCTTTCAAATTAATTTTAAGTAGTGAAGCTTGTTTTCAGTTTCAAGAACTTTATGAATATGAAGAATATTACTCTTCACCTTAAACAAATTACAACACATTAAAATATATTACATATAACCTCAACAAGGAACGACTTCTCCCAATCCCATACAAATTTCAGATTTTGTTATTTTCTGTTACAATTTAATTGTGTGTTGTTAAAAAGAAATAATTGAGCATGAGTTGTATAGCTTATAGCTGTCTAATTTTTTTCTTGAAATATGAAGGGTATAATTTACTTTTATTTTCAATCAACCTTTGTTACAACTATTTATGCTATCAGCACTCATACTCCAATTAGCCAACATTTTATCTGGTAATGGGAATGACAATTTGCCATAAGTTAACTATTGGTGACAAAAAAATACAATTACCCCTCACACTGCTCAGTTGTAGAAGGGTGCAAGATTAAGAAGAAGAAGAAGAAGAAGAAATACAATTATTTTATGAACTACTCTTAATTTTAATCATTTTTTATTTTGCTGTGAAATATTTTGAATTAGATTCTCACATATATATTTTTTTCAGCTCAGTCAATAGCTCCATACAAAAAATCAATAGTTACATACAAAAAAGTTTTTTTTTTTTCTCATTTAACTATTTAACTATTAAAAAGAGGTATCTGTTTTTAAATTTATCCCCCAAACTTCCGTTTGACTAATTAAATAAATCTATATGTTGTAAATGAGAAGAATTCAAATAAAGTATACAATGAAAAATATTTATACTCAATGAACAAAACATTTTCTCAATGTAATCCAGGGGTGCCCACAAGGGGCTTCCATGGCGCAAATTGCGCCATCACAATTTTTGTGGGAGGCACATTTTGACAAGATGTTGAATTTTTGAGGGGGGCACATTTCGACGGAGTTATGAATTTTCGGATTGAAAAGTTTCAAACAAAAAGACAAAGGGAATACATGGAACAAACCTCATCAAGTGTAATTTATATTATTTACGGTTTATTTCTAATGTTTTTAAGAAGAGTAAAGCAATAATTATCTTGGGAGAGAAGGGGGAAAGATTCATGCGCCATCAACCTTGGGAGAGATGGGCACCTCTGATGTAATCAGACTTATTCCATCCAAAATTAACAATTTAGGCATTACAAGAAAAATTAATTGTTTGATACTTAAAAGTATATTGCTAAAGCACTCATTTTTCTGTGAAGAGAAATGTATTAATCTAGAAATATTAAATCGATAAATAAAATAATTTATCTAATAAATCATGAATTCTTCACTGATTTATGATTTAAGAATATTAGGCCTTACGTTAACAAATGATGATTAAACTTGTGAAGATAGGAATTAATTCTATTTCTATTATAGTAAAAGCCCCAAAAATATTATCTTGTTTAACTATATCAGTGACACTACAAATTTAATCAATTTCAATTAGTTCATTGTAATATATTAAGAAAATCTTTTCTGTATATTACAACTATTATTAAAGCTCAAACATGGTTCAATCAATAATCAGCAAAAAAACAGAAATTATTCATTAGATTTAAAAAATGCTGAAGGTTGAAACTTAAACAAAAATTTATTACATACTTTTGTTCAGTTACATTGTTATTTTCAAATTAAAGAAACTCTGCAAACATATACCAGTATGTGGCGTTTAATACAGCAAACAAAAATGGAAAGAAAATTCTGGAGAACTTATCAATTCCAATAGCCCTCATTCTATTTCTGTTCGGAGGCTGGACAACAGGACGAGGAGGAGGTGGCGGCACTCCTTGATTTCTCAACTCCAAAATGTTTTCCTATTTAAAAAATAAATTTTATTTTAATGAAACAATGAAAAACAACTTTAATTTAATGCTATATAAAGGTGGTATTCAGGATTTAAAAAAAAAAAAAAAACCTAATTTCTAAGAAGATACTGAATTTTGTATTAATTTTAATACTTTTAATAAAATAAAAGTAAAAATGTTATATTAACAGTAGATTTATTTCCAAAATTCTGTACAACTAAAAATAATGAAGAGTCTGGTGTTCAGTACTTTGTAAAGAAATACTGAACAAAATTTAACTGAAGTACTGTTTCCTGGTCAATGGTTGTGCAAGGAGGTGATTCCACATCAGCTTTTTTATCTTTATTAATTAGTAAATTAAGATTAACCATTATGTAGAGGATGGGTGTGCCCCAGGAGGGTCCCAACCAAAAAAAATGGTGCCTAGGGCAAGAATCAAAGGTTCGCCTAAATTATCTTAACATAAAAAAGAAAGATTCACTAAATAAAACTGATAAAATCTTATAAAACATATTATTTATTTATGTTTTTATAATTTTAAATGTTTATAATAAAACCAAGTCCATAAAATTGTTATACTCCTTATTGCAACTTACTGGCTTTCTGCATTGCAAGCATATTAATAATATTTTCTAAATCAGTTTTAATTGCTTCTGCTCACTCCACAATGAGCAAAGCTAGGTCACAAAACCTTTCTTGACCCATTGTAGCTCTCAAATATGGAAATATTGATTTAAGATACTGAAAGAGTGTTCACAACTTGCGATGGATACTGCAATTTTCAACAAAATTTGAATGAAAATGTGCTGATTCAGAAATAGGTTTTCGTCCCCACATTGCATAATAAATTCAAGTAGCTTTTAACATTTCTTTTTTTTTTTGTTTGTTGTAGATACAAGCATCCGAACAATATTTCTTTGTATAACTGTTCCTCATTAACATTATGACCATAGAAATCACCAAATATTTTATTTTTAAATAGTCAAATTTGTCAGTACTGTAACACAGGGCAGGTATATTACTTTGGCCAACCTAGATAAATATAACAGAATGAATAATTACCTGCCACAGACGGTCTGAAATCTATTTCCGAAAAAATTTAATTAATTCTTAACTGAACATGAAACTTGTAACATTTTTATAACTTAAAAAAATTAATAGTTGATTAAACTATTTCAGTACTTACTTTAATAGTTTGGTAGCAATTATTTGAAATATGAATAATGCAATGATTGAGCATTTAAGTATCCTTCATTATTGCATATATGAAGAAAATTTCAGTTATAAATAATATGAACGTTAATATTTAATGTAAAAACATCAAAGTATATTCCAACATAATTCATTATTCAAGCAGTAAATATTCACCAAAAAGTAAATATCATAAGTTGATGAATGATTTTCTGGTCAACCTATTACCATAAATGTAGTACTGGACAAAAAAAATCTGTTGTTTCATTTTAACAATGATAATAGGAAGTTCAATTTAAGAATTAATGTTCAAGCTTCTGCTATCTTTGTTTGTTGTCAATTCAGTTTATAAGTTTTACTCTAATACCTATTCAAAATAAAATCATGGAAATCAGATAATTTAGGAAAATGAATACATACAATAGTTGGATACGGCTGTAATAAAAAAATAAATAAAAATAAAATATATGTAAAGGGTAGTATATAATATACTTACGGGAGAGTAGAGGGAAATGTTTATAGGAGTGAGAGTTGCAAACAATTGGCCAATTTTCAGCAGAAAAGTAGGAAATCTAAGTTTTGTGTTTTTTTAAGTGTCCTGTTTTGTATTGAATCGAAAGCAATAACTAAAGAAATATTTAATTTAAGTAATTAATAATAGCTCCATTTTAAGCAAGATAGAATTTACTTTAAATTATCATTGAGTTTATTACTATTAAAACCATTTACAGAGGATTTTGAGTAGCTAAATTAAGCTACATTCGGTTTTTAGAAAAATCATAAATTATTCACTTTTTTTTTATCATTATCCAACTATAATACTGTTCCTCACTTTTACAAAACCTTCTTTGTTTAATAAGCTTTAAGTTTGTATTAACTAAGTTAAGGTTTATTAAGGAAACTTTTGAGATTCAGCTCAAGTTTTGTAAAAAAATGATGATATTTTTTATCCTGGCAAGTAAAAGTACCTCTGTTTTCAACAAAAATGACTACAGTTTATTGTTGCAAAGCATTAATTTCTTGTTTTTCCACGATATGGGATGTATTTTAATAAACCCAATTGCCTAAAAACATATTTTATTTATAAAAAAATTAATGTGAAAAATACTGATTTTTCAAATATTTTTCCAGGAAATCGGTTATAAACTTTTTTTTTTCATCCAGAGCTCTATTATAGGAATTTATCATTATTTATAAGTGACAAACTAAATGTTCCTTATCCTAATATTAACGTGTTCATTAAAATAATTGAAACAATCAGCAGGGTTTTTTTATTATAAACCTAAATTTTAGTACTAGAAAGTTTTATTTTATTTATCACTCACAAATACAGATCAATTCCTATAATAAAAATCAGGATGAAAACAGTTTATAACCAATTTCTCAGAAAAATATTTGAAAAATCAGTATTTTTCAAATTAATTTTTTTTATGAATAAAATCTGTGTTTAGACAATTGAGTTTATTAAAACATATATCCAGTCAGCCAACTGGAGGCAACTCACACCAACTGGATGTAGGACTGATGATCCTACCCGGTGTACTCAAATCGGGAATCGGGATGTGGTCCACCAGGATGTCAAAAGTCCCCTGAGGTTTGGTCCATGGACGGTCTATTTCGGGGAAAGAAATATAGGTCCTCTTGCACCTGCTGACTCTGAGCAGCCATAATCCATGGATCTAGACTGATTTGTCACTGTTCATGAATCCAAATAAGTCGGTGGGAAGGATATTGCCAGATTGGCCCCAAAGAGATTGGCTCGTAATAATAAAACACAACATGATCAGATAAAGAATCTCTTTTTCCTTTTTTGGTCTCATTTCTAGGTCTTATTGGTTTATTTTCCCAATTATAATAATTCTTTCTATAATAAATTATTAATTTCCCTCATTGTGAGAATAAAAAAGTATGAAAGTAGAAAGTTTGCTTTTGAGGTGATATTATGTGGAGACAATGAATTAATACAACTTATTACAAATATACCTTAATACAGTTTCTGCTGTCGTTTCTGGGAGGTGGTGGTTTGGGAGCATCAGAGTCACCAAGCACAATATTTACCAAACAGTATTCCATAAGTGCCATAAACACAAATCTAAGAGAAAAAAAAATGTTTGAAACAAAATTCTTGGGCAATAAGTTATCTAGATATAAATAAAAAATATATTGTTTCTAGGAATGTAGAATTATTAATTGGTAATATAGAATTGGTAATAAAAATAATAGGTCTATAAAATAAAGTTTAAAAATTATTTGTAAATGGAATACAAATTGTTCTTGTGAATTATGATGTTTTATCTGCCTGGATTTATCATATAGAACATTACATTTCAGAAAATACTCATCACCTTCTGATTCAGAAGGTGTATTCAGAAGTTCTGAATACACATGTAAAAATATAAATTATATTATAAATAAATAAATCAAATTCACTATGGCCTAGAGGACAGAGTATAATGGTATAATGGATTATATGGCCAGGTAGTGATAATGGTAGAGCTGTCATGTTCTTGTCACTTCTCTGTCTAGAAAAAGATATGTATTTAAGTTAGGATTTTAAAAAATATCATTTAGCATAAGAAGCCTGTGTTCTATTCATGTATCTGGTCTTCCATTAAACATTTTAAAAATAAATGTTTGCCTTAAATCAGTACCTAATTCTGCTCTTAAGATATAAAACAAAATTAAATACAAAATTATTTTATGTTAGTTTGATCATATTTTTGGTTTGAAAATAAAATAAATTTGTAACATATAGAAGCTATAATATATCAATCAATTTTCATTCTATAGTTATATTATTATTAACATGGCTCTCCAGTTCGGTGTCAGATCCTGGCCACTTCCAGTAGCCTCCGCCAATCGTCTTGGTCTCTTGTATATTTGCTGCATCAGCAGTATCATCATCAGCCCACCACAGCTTTGGTCTTCCTCTTCTCCTGGTACCATGAAGTGGCTCCATCAGCAGTTGTCTTGGTGGATTCTCACTGCCCATTCTGACGACGTGTCTTGCTCATCTCAATCTTGTAATCTTCAGCCCGAAAGCTGAAGCAAACAAACACTTATAACATACGAAGAGGACTTTGTATCTGACAGATAGGAGTAAGATCCCTCTATAGTTATAGCATGATTGTCAATCACCCCTCTTAAATATAGGACAGATGAGTGACTTAGTCCATGGATCTAGTAGAACTTCATCCGTTGAGAAGATGAGATCCTGCATATCTTTCACGAGTTCGTTCCCACCTCACCTGAAGAGTTTTGCAGGGAGTCCATCAGCACCTGGAGCCTTGTTGCATTTCAGTTGGTTGATGACATCAAGGATCTCATCTTCGAATGATGGCTCTTCATCAGCTTCATTTTCCCTGTCTCCCTATTTCCCACTTTTCCTCGTCTTTTCTCCCAATTCGATCGAATCCCAAAGGTCCCACAAAGTCTCGGAATTCCTTATCTCCCAACAATTTTTCTGTTTTCTCCAGCTCCTCTTGCTCCCACTGCCTCTTCCTTCGGCAATGCAAACGTCAGGGCCATTCAGTCTGTCCAGATTAAACCTCTTTCCTCTTTATCCAAGAGCAGAACACTTTTGAGCGACTCTAAGACAGTGGTCATAATCCACGTTTGCTCCATGATAGGTCCTTGCATCCAGCAGGCTGAATGTATGTCTGGCTCCCACTAGAAAGTTGTCAATTTGATTGATAGTTTTCTTGTCAGGCAATATCCAAGTTCCCATATGTATTCTTCTGTGCAAGAAGAGAGTCTCTCCAATAATCATTTCCTTGGATACTATTAAATTGACAAGGCATAGGCCTTTTTTGTTAATTTCTTTGTGAAAGCAGTGATGTCTTATATTAGGGTAATAGATTTCTTCTTTTCCAATCTCAGCATTGAAGACTCCAGTAATTATCTTGGCGTCATAGCTTGGGCAGGCGTCAAGGGTTCTTTCAAGGGAGCCATAGAACCTTTCCTTTTCTTTGTCATGAGATACTTCAGTGGAAGAGTGTGCACAGATTATACTGTAATTGTAGAATCTCTTCCATATTCTGATAAGGCATATTCTGGGACTCACAGGCTTCCATCTAATCACCAGCTGTCTGAATTTGCTACCAAAAATTAATTCATCGCCAAACTTGTGGGTGTTCTCATGGCAGCTGTAAAATATAGTGAGGTTTTTCTTTTCCATAATGCCTAGGCTCGTCCTTCGGATTTCTAGGATGGCAATTGTATCCAATCATTCTAGTCATATGTTACTTTAAACAATACCTATGACTAATAGATGTTATTAATGATTAATCACTAAATTATAAATTAGTAGGTGCAATCACAAAAAGAAAAGGATGTAAAGGAATAAATATGTACTAAAAAATAAATTTGGCAATAAATTAAGTATGGTAGTCAGAACCGGTTGATTAATAATATCTAAATATAATGTCATGAAAAATGATTCATGATATTTCAGTTAAATTAAATACTTACACGGTACACACAGACATAAATGCATCAACAGCTTTTAAGTACGATACTGGAGGTAAAGATGCTTGAGATTTAGCATGTTGTGTTGATAGTGTTAGCAAAGATGTGACACCTAGAGTTACTCTTGCAGGAGCAGCTTCAGGTTTGATCCAGAATGAAACCCACTGTTGTGAATAATCAGTAAGAAATTTAAATTAATAAAAAAATAACAATGACAATTATACATCCCAAATATAAAATAACCTTGAATGCTATTATTTACATTGTTTGTTTATATCAATAAATCTTAGTTATGACAATTAAAGGTTTATGACATTCAAGCGGCTAAAATATGCTAAGTGTGTTATTTATAAAAGCAGATAGATTATTAGTGTTTTTGAAAAAACTTTCATCAGTTTTTAATGGTCTAAATATTCCTTTATTTTAGATTTAAAATTTTCTTGTTTAATAAGCTGTAAGCCTATATTAATTTTAATATTTAATAAGTTGAGGTTTCTTTCAGAACAAGCTAAGATTCACCTTCATTTTTCATAAAAACATTATGTGAAATTATGTCTCCTAAAATTATCAATGTTAATCACCTGAAGTGATGGTACAACTATGGGTGTACTACCTTAAAGTCTTAAATGACCAATTAAACCTATTAATCTTCTAATATTTACATTTTCATGAAAATAACTAAAAAAGTTGGTGGGATTCAAATAAAATGTATAAATTTATCAGTAGCATTCTAATTCAGGTTATATTATAAGAAGTAGAATGATTCTAATACAGGGACTACTTTTAATCCACTAATGAATATTTGAATTATTATAAAACAAATACAAAATACAAAGTTTGCTTTTGTTATTATTATGTTAACTGAGCCAAAGAATTATTCAAGCATGTATATAATAATAATAACATGTTATAAAGAACACTTACTGACATAATTACTATCAGACAGGTCGGTATGTAGGTATGAAACAAATAGTACCCTAGCCTCCTTTTCAAAACAAATACAACTTCTAGGCATGTGAAATTTCCTGCAAAGAAAATTGATGGAAAGATTTATATATTATTTTATTTATATATATATTTACATTTCAATACATAATAGCTGTTAAGGAAACACAGCCAAGTTCCTACTTTATTCAATTTAAATTTAATGGAAAAGTAAGCAGCACTGCTGCTATCTCTTGGCAGGCAAGTGAAGCAACAAGGACAGTACAGACAGAGTTATTGCAAGGATCTGATACACTTGAGGCTGTAGACAAAGCTGGCCAGCCATCATTTCATCTGTACAGCCTTTTCACAAGAAAGATGGAGCAGATACTCTAGAGGCCTAGCAAGAGACCAGGTGACCGGGGAGAGAGAGAAGAATTCAGCAAGTACCTAAGTAATTAATTTTCAGCCACCACCCACCTAATCCACTTCAGTTAAAATAGTTTGTAATATTTATACCAAATTTATTAATATATTAACCCTTTATTTTAATAGATCCGGGTTTAATAAATCACATTACAATATAAATAAAATAAAGAGTAATATTGAATATTTAATAGTTGACCGTTTCGTTACAAAGGAAGAAGATGGTCCGGGGTGGCGGTCATAAATAGGCTAAATAGTGGTAAAACTATTTTATTAAAAGCCAACGTTTCAACCCGACTTTGCAGGTCTTCTTCAGGGAGGTGTGTTCAGCTAGGAGTTTCACTTAAAACTGAGAGTTTCAGTTTTACCACTATTTAGCCTATTTATGACTGCCACCTCAGACCACCTCCTTCCTTTTTCAAACAAAATAAAGTAATCTGTTCTACCCCATAGTTCAATTACAATGAAATACCCTTACATACAGTCCACAGCAGTCAAAATAAAAACAGTGACCTACAGCATGATTATTAACTCAATATCCCTGATAGCCAAAGGGATTGGCTTAATAAATTAAACAATAGCTTTTACATATTTTCATTACTATTAAGTAGCTGATCTAGTTCCATTAAAATTAAGTGCCAAGAAGAGAAAAATAGTCTATGCTAAGCAAACTGTGAGCAATAACTAAGGGAAAACAAGAGAGGGTGGAAAAGGGGAAGAGTAAAGACAAATATATTGTAGAACAAGAAAATTTTATTACTTTAAGTCCAAACCAAAACAGTAGATCAGTCAGGTATAATTCCATAATTCTGCTAATAATAAAATACAATAGATAAACAATATATTCCTCTTACACATTAATCTATTGCCAGATATCTATTGTACTTTATCATCAGCAGAATTATGGAATTATACTTGACTGATCTACTCGTTTATTTTTGGACTTAAAGTAATAATTTTCTTTGTTCTACAGTATATTTGTCTTTACTCTTTCTTAGCCCACCCTCTCTTGTTTTTCCTTAGTTATTGCTCACAGTTTGCTTGGCATTGACCATTTTTTCTCTTCTTGACACTTAATTTCAATGGAACTAGATCTGCTACTTAATAGTACAGTTTTAATGCTTATCAATAATATTAAAACAGATTATATGCCTCTTCTGTTCATTTTTCCTACTTTTGGTGTCTTGAAGTTTTTTATTTTTTACAATAAATTAGGCCAATTTTCACCAACATTTTATTGATACGCATTAATTTAACGTTTCGACCATACTAAGGGTCATTTTCAAAACTTGATGAGTCCTCCGTTATATGTTCATCATTAATGTTGTAATTAATATGTTCAGTGAACATTAACTTGTCATGTTACATAGGGGCTTCGCCCACGTCATTTCTGGAGGGATTATATGTCATTTAACTAAATTTTAGAAATTCTAATTGTGTATTCATCATGAACATTTTTAATATTCAATTATGTTATTTAACCAAGCCATTGACAATTATAGGGTTGAGTAGATTGGAATGTGGGTCACAGAGTGACCAGTTCAGAACGTTCTTGGTTTGAGTTCATTGGGTTGGTTAATATTTATTTTTCAGTTGCTCTGGAAAATGAATGTTGGCACTCTCTGTTCTGTCTGGTAAGTGTCTTTATATATATATACATATATATATATATATATATATATATATATATATATATATATATATATATACACACACACACACACACACACACACACACACACACACACACACACACATAAAGTATGGAATTCAACATATATGTTTTTGTTTTACTTGACAAAAAAAAAGAAGGTGTATTTATATAAAACCCCCTCAGAACTTTCTTCTCTCTTTCAAAGAAAGCTATTTAAATCCCAAAATATCTCAATAAATCTCAAATTAAGGGTGTATAATACTATGGTAAAACCAGTTCTACTATATGGCTGTGAGTCCTGGACACTAACGAGTGCCATAAAAAAAAGTTTAATTTTATTGAATGATTTGAGAGAGAAATTCTCAGCATGATAACCAAAGAAATGTGGGGTCAGAGTACTAACATATGGAGGAGAAAGGCGAATAAAGAGCTGCTTACAGAAACTGGTCAATCAGTATCTTGGAAGGCATGGAGGTTAAGAAGGCATGGAGGTTAAGATGGGCGGGACATGTAGTTTGGAGCAATCCATCAGGAAGTTTCTACATGACAATCAGTGCCTCAATACTAGAAAAAAGCCCACTTGGAAGGCCAAAATGCAGATGGATAGATCGAATCAGTTGCATATAGCTGCATGCAGATAACTGGAAAGAAATATCCCGAGATAGGCAAAGACGTAGGCATGTAAAGTCGGTAAAAGATCAATAAGGTCAGTAATGCCAATAGAAAAAAAATATATAATATATATATATAAAAAAACAATATTAATAAAATTTTAATCAATGGAACAGACATAATAAGTATAAGTGGATGATTGAAATTTATCCGGGACAGCGCGAACGCAGTCCCGACTAACAAAAATTAAGCGCCCGAGATACCCACATGTGGGGTATTCGCAGGGGTCAGCCCGACCGAAGTGCAATGGAAGAGCCTCACCCTGGGGGCACCGCTTTAGTGATCACGGTAACCCCCACGCCAGGTAAGTATGCTTAAACTTCCCAGGATCGAGATCATTATTCAACGCGGATTAAAAACAGTTCAGAGAACATCAACTAAGTTTTTGATACAAATTGAATTCCTAAATTAATACTCGATGATTAAAAGAAACAAAACCAAACAACACAAAAATAGAAACAAAACAAACGAAACATGAGGACAACACATCGCGAAATATGCAATACTACCTGGAAATAAACATTAATAACTTCTCAGAATACGATCGAGACTGCATGATTAGTTACCAGGTAGCGCTAGTGTAGCGCCTCATCTAATTTCTCTGCAAAGGGACAGATGTAAAATAAATCACTTTTTTAGCTATTAAGAGGGCCAACATTTTAGTACATTTCCTAATTATTTAAAATATTAAATTTCAATGGCATTTAAAGTTTCAATAAAGGTTTTATATATTATATTATATTATATATATATATATATATATATATATATATATATATATATATATATATATATATTATATTTTTTTTATTGTTATATATATATATATATATATATATATATATATATATATATATATTATATTTTTTTTATTGTTATATATAAATATATATATATATAATCATCTCCCCATATATTTATATCAGAGTTCTATGAATGTTAACCTTGAGCCTGATAAGATGGGAGGGAATTGTATATATATTAAAGAGAAATTTTTAAACTGAAACAATTTTTCAATAAAGTGTTTCTTGCTTCTATGCCATCACATTTTAATTATTAATAACTTTGGGTTATTGAATAGTTATAATATTACAATATTGAATATAAAAATAACAATCTGATTATTAATAAAAATTAAATAGACAATTTAAACATTTACCTGTTGAATATACCTGTGTACAGTCAGCTGTTTTGTTGCGAACAAGTTGCAACTGTGGTAATTCAATATTTTCATCAACTACCAATGGCACATCAGGGTCCCATTGAAATAGCATATCATCAGTTGTATGTGATACTACGAATCAATGAATTAATAATAATATTATTGAATTAATTAAATTATTTTTGTAAGATTCATACTCAACAAATCAGGCAAAATAAATTAATAAATTAGATATTGTATACATAACAAAGTAATTAGTTTTTTTTTTAGAAACCAAAAAATGTGTATGTCATACTCCTGTTTGTTTTCTTGTTTTTGTTTTTTAATTTTCTAAAGATGGCTGTGATGAAGGTATTGTATTAATTTTTAGTATCTAATGGAAGATAGGCAGAATAAACTGTATTTATCCACATCAGCTAAAAATGATATCTATACTAACATGTGTATTACTTTCTTTTGTCTAGTTAAATAAATAATAGTACCCTCTTTTTAAATAAATAGATAAGGGTGTCCTTTTCTAAAAAAAAATGAGTTCTAATTCTAATTAATGTGTGGGGGCTTCATGGTATTTTTTTGTTTATATCAGGAAAATAGCCAAACCACATTCCTAAATTGAATTTGGTGGGAGGGGAAATTATCCCACTCCAATGCCTTAAACAAACATGAAATGTTCCATACTGGAATTAGCATTATCATCATCACTATTTTATTTTATACTTTTTCTTCTGATGTGTTTTTGAAAGATTCTTTTTTTAAATTCTGGTCCATAAAGATTATAAATCTAAACCGAGAGAATGGCTGAGGGACATCAGCGATTGAAAGAATGCTGGACTAGTGCAGCTCTCATCAAAACACCTATTTAGCTAAATGAAACTATCTCTGAAAAACAATTATTTTGTAAAATTAATTGAAAGTTTGCTGAATAAAAAAAAAAATTGTTAAGTAGTATTAAAATAAATAGTTTAACACATATATTCCCATTAAACATTAGGGAAATAACTTTAGTTTATAATATACATAGGTAGAAGTGAATTTGTAGTACTGTCACCCCCAAAAGCTGTCTATCTGAATTAGAAGTACTATCGCCCCCAAAAGCAGGTAGTTGATAGTTTCATGAGGAATTTCTTTAACTGTGTTTTTACTTTTTTTTTTATCTGATTCTGTCATAATAATATTACTTACAGCTTTCCATTTGCAGTTTACATTCTTGTGTGTCATGAGGATATATCATGAAATTCATAACACAAGATAATCTCAGCGTTAATCTGAAATAAAATTTGTTGGAAATTACTTTTTGTAACAACTTACTTTTTAAACAATAATTTTGTAATTCAATTAATATATATATATATATATATATATATATATATATATATATATATAAATTTAATATATATAATATATTTATATATATATATATATATATATATATATATATATATATATATATATATATATATATATATATATATATATACACACATATATATATATATATATATATATATATATATATATATATATATATATATAAATATATATAATATATAAATATATATAATATATATATATATATATGTATGTGTATATATATATATATATATATATATATATATATATATATATATATATATATATATATATATATATATATATATATACATATTATATAAATATAAATATATTTATATTATATATATAAATATATATATATATAAATATATTATATATTATATATATAAATATATAAATTTAATATATATAATATATTTATATATATATATATATATATATATATATATATATATATATATTAATAAAGTTTATTGTAAAAAAAAAACAAGAAGAAAAGAACATTCAGAAATTACTTGACCATGTACAAAATGGTTTTGTCTTTATATAGCCACACATAGTGATTGGGAATAGTCATTGTTTGGAATGTGACAGATTTGGCGTTTTTGAAAAATGAATCTGGCCTCCACATGTTTTTTAACCAATCCACTTCAAGTAACCTGAAATAATAATTATAACTAATTGTTGTAAAATATTTTATTATTGGCTAGTGAAAGAAAATATATAATATATTTTTACAGATTTGATTATTTGTGCATGAATGAAATCAATTTAAACTTTGAAATAGTCCCAAAATACATCTGAATTAATTGGGGAGAGTTATATACCTGTATTCAGATGTCATGTTTTCTGGTAGGCGTAGCCTATAATCTTTCCAAGTCTGTGCAAAAAATATATCTGCAACGTAAGTCTAGAAAAATATAGAAAGTAAGATATAAAATTAATCTATAAGAAGGTGTATATTTGATAATTGTTTCAGGAGAATACTTTTCTAAGGGCTAAATGAAACTTTCGATAAACTGGGCATTTAGTACTAATTTTTAAATAATTGATTTTAGTATAGATTAACATATTGATCAAATAACTATCTCATTGATATTGAATGTACACAAATAAGCTATCCAATTGTTTCAACCTTAAACATATATTATAAATAAAGCTTTTATGAACTGTTTATTATATTATTATCAATCAGCTGTAATTATTGACAAGTAATTATTCACAACACTCTATTCCACCCACTGCCGGAAATCGATCAATGCCAAAAATTTTTGAACAAATAGAAGTGATTGAGAGACCTTACACAATAGCTGATAACTTCATCCTCAGTAGGGGTACTCATCCTCCCTAAGGTCGATTGCGCATGCCCCCTTTCAAAAATTATTATTTCTTTACTATTTTTAAAAACACTGCAAGTAAAAGTAAAATTGGAAAAACTATAAATGAGATAGAATTACATTTGCTGTGATCTGTTTCGTGTTTCCCCCTTATTCTGTCGTTTGAAAGTTCCTTCAAATTCAAATCCAATATCTTGATGACGCAACTCGCTTCATGCAACAGTCCAGTGCCGGTCTTAAACATTCGGCATCCTCGGGAAATGACGTATTCTCCTCCCCCCCCCAAAAAAAATATTTTTTTAAATTTCTAACAAGTGGCGAGCGCCCTCATAGACGGCGCCCCATTTGATTGGCGACCCGGGGCAATTGCTACGGTTGCCCCGCCCTTAAGGCCGGCATTGCAACCCTCATCTGGGCAGCCTTGGAATCCTTAACTATCCATGATCCTACCTAATTGGAATACCCAAATTCGACTTCCTTTCCTTATTCTTGCACTGCTGAGTTTTTACGGAATTGATCCTGGTCAAAAACGATTTAAATTCTAACATTTTATGTTTTGATTTCGCAATAGGAAAATAATACACTATATAGTTCAAAAATCTAACAATTATCAAACAGAACGGTAAAAATATTTTATTTAATAATGAGAGGTTATTCACTTGCGCAGCCTATTAAGTAATATTATTGCCTTTTACCAAATTAAAATCAATTTTTAAGCTAAATAAAATATTTTAATTAGTAATTCAAATGATTATGGTAAAGATTTCCGTTTAAATATAATCAAAAAGAAAACCAATTAAAAATAACATTATGAGTGACATTATTGTTTCTTTGGGTCAATTGCGATTCTTTCGAGTTTCCAATTAGGGAGGATATGTTTTAAAATATATAATAAATACTCATTTTATCATTAATCAAATATTTTATTGTTAAGGATAATAATATGGAGGATAATATATAATATTATAATAAAAATTAATATTGTCTGTTTCTTTTGGAGTTCCCCTCACCATGTGGATCCGACAATGCCTGTGATCATCAATGTTAGAGTCCCTTAAACCCTTAAGACACCCGTCCACTCTTCTCCCATTTCAGCAAAAATAAAGATATATAGTCGCTTAATTCATCGAATGTATAACAAGGCCGACCTTACAATTAAATTTTAATATGTGGTGGATTTAAAAACATTGTATACTCGTATTACATTTCCGAAATTTTAAATGTAGGAGAAGACGGGGTAAGATGACGAATGGGAAAGAACGACAAATTCTGTATTCGTCATTATTAATCACAGTTAGCATCAGCACGTCCTAGCCAGCACAAGACTTATGTAATGGTGGACTATGCATCTCACTAGTATAAACAAGTGTGTACCCATGTTAAGTTGAGAACAAAAGTTTAGATATAGAATACTTTAAGCAATTTTCAAATCTCGAAACGTAAGGAATCAGTAGTCTAAGGAAGGTATTTCAACTTTCTCACTAAAATATGTGAATGTACAATTCCAGAACATAAACCCATAGGAGACCCATTTCTTTTAGTTGTGGTTATTGATACATGTTTGTTTGATCAAAATGGCGTGAGGGGAAAAGATGAGGAATCTGCATCGTTTACTCTGAGGGAGGCAAGGATGAGCTGTGGTACCAGTGCTCCAAGTACCTCAACTGGGCTTAATCTGGGTGTTCCAGACAGACATCAGAGAGACATCAGTCACATGGACTATAAATGCGGCTTTATAGTTTTTAAATAAACTTTACGAAGATCAGAATTCTGTTACATAAATTACCTAATAAATTTTAAGTATTGTATATTTTAATAACAGTTTGTGATTCCTTTCAAAGTTTTATGTTTCTTGTTTAAGTTACATGTTTAGAAAGTTTAATAGAAGCTCACAATTAAATTGTTTACTATGATATTTTAAAATCCCCTGTCTTTTTGTCATCCTACTTTGTAGCTGGGGTAAGATGACGAAAATGACAATTATTGAAAAAATCCATGTTTTATCCCTTTGAAGACGAAAAAGGCAATTGAAAAATATCATGGTATCAGGTAAGATATTGCAGAAAATCCATAAAAATTTCAGTTCTTAAATCCGTTAGCAGTGGTCAGGAAAAATTACGAAACCTTAACCTCGTCAATTTATCTCCGCTCCTCTTCCCCTATTTATTACTCTCAAACAAAACAAACAAGAATATTCTTTTTTTTTTTTTTCAAAAAGCTCGATTACTTTCGACGTCGTTAAAAATTATGGTAATATACTTCTTTGGGAGCTGTTTTATAAAAAAAAAAAAAACTTTACATCATGAATTCAATACGTTAAATTTAGAAGGTAAGGTATATAAATAACTGTAATATATAGCGAAAAGTACATTACCATTGAGTTTTCATCAATTGAGTCCAAACCCATCACTGTTACATGGAAATAAACTACAGTCGGGTGTCCATCTTTCTTTGGAGGTCTCATTTTGTCGTACATGTTCGGATCTTCTGGGAGAATCTCATTCAATGAAAGGCCAGTTGTGCATCTGTATCAGATATAGTTAATAATTTATTTTTATCAAAAAGATTGAGGTAGGGATGTTATTACTAAAATGTGTCATGTTTGTATTTAATCATATATTTGTGGATATGTAATTTTTAAATTTTTTGTGCAACTTTTTTTTGACAGAATTAATTTCAAAATATGATATAGCATAAAAAAAAAACTGTCAATATTCATTTACATAACCACATTTTAGTCCGCGCTGATGTGGATTGCTTAAGCAATTCTTCAAATCGACTGTCATTTATACAGACTATTTAAATTTATTAAAGGATTTCCTAGAGTAGGCTGTCAAGACATTATCATCACTAGTAAAATCAATTATTTTTCGTTATTTATTTTTTCTCTAATAGGATTCGACGCTTTGAAACGGATATGGATGGATATTTCTATGCCATTAAATAGTTTAAAGTTCAAATTATAGTGCTATCCTTCATTCATTATTTTTTATATTCTATTATTCTTTTTTTTTTAAATCAGGGTGAAAAATATGTTTTAACTCATCTACATGTTAATCTGGGTTACCAAAATAACAAAAAAAATTCATATACGCTCCGCTTAACTTATTTAATTTAATTACATATTTTTTTCTCTGACGTATGGCGAGGCTGACTCATTATAGAAGTGAGAAGGAGGTTGCGTTATTAGGATAGAATAGAATAGCCTGGAGGGGGTCATCCAACCTCACGTTGCTACGAACCATGGTCTCCATAGCGCAGTGGCAGGCCACCAGTAGCTCCATAGCCAATCCCTTAGGAGCCGATCTGGCAATGCCCTTCCCACCGACTCACTAAGGTTCAAGGACAGTAACAAATCGGTCTATATCTATGGAATATGGCTGCTCAGAATCAGCTGGCGTAAGAGGACCTATTTTCTTTCCTTAACAGACCACTCATTGACAAAACCTCAGGGGGGCTACTGACATCCTGGTACATCACATCTCGATTCCCGATTTAAGTGCTTGGGGTAGGGTCTCAGTCCTACGCCCGGTCGGCGTGGGTTGCCTCCAGTAGGCTGACGTGACTCATACCGAGGGCGGAAGGGAGGACTGCGTGACTTTCCCTGGTGGACGGTACCCAAATCCGGCGGTTTTCCATGCTCGACGTTGCTTAACTTTGGTTACCTATTGCAGGTGCCTTAGCTGCGGCACGGCTACTCTGGCCTCTTATATATATAATATAGTTTTTTTATCCATATATAAATATATGGAAGCGGAGTAGCTCAGTGAGTTAGCACACTGGGCTGCTAAGCTCAAGATCCCGTGTTCGAATCCGGCTGATGCTAGTAATTATTCACCAGCCGTGGATCGACCCTGGGAGCGGGAGACCCTCCTGTAGTACATCCAGCCTCTAGAAGGCGGGTACTCTTAATTAAATAATTAATTAAGGGGGAACCTGGTGGTTGAGCGTGATCTTAATCTGATAACTTCCCGGCACAACCCTTGGCCTTGAAAAAGTATTTCCTATCAAAGTACTAAACCCAAAACTCTTCATTGGAGGATGGTTTAACTCAAGGAGTGGGTTACATGAAGAAATTAATAAAAGAAAACTCATATTTTCTTATCCACTTTTCATTTGTTAAAATTTTATTTTGCTAATAATGAACAAACTTACACAATTAAACATTCATGTTTTAGCAATGACTTTGTTTACAATCTGTTGTAAGTTACAAGTGTACAGTGGTATTTAAGACGGTTATTTAATTGGCCCTCTTATTTAAGAAAATCATCTTACAGAAGACTGCTACGTAGATTTATCACGTTCGAATTACAAGGGCTATTAAAGGTTGTTCTTCTAAACATCAGAATACAAATGCAGTTTATCAATCGCTTGATAGGAGAGGTATTTGGATGAAAGGTTTCCAGATTGGTCGCGGTGGTCCAATTAGTTGGTCTGCGAAATCTCCAGACCTCACAGTACTGAATTATTGTTAATAAGATTGGTTCAACGATGAAGTATAGAAAGTAAAATTATATACGCAGGATGCACTGATTCAACGTCGCAACAGTCGCCCTTTTATAAAAACAATGCTTCGACATCCGAAATGCAAAAACATGTTTGAAATATTGATTATTTGTGATTTTGTTTTTATTTGTGATTATCAAATAAAATTTAAACAAATGAAAATCAGATTAGAAGTTGAAATTATCATTTTTATGTGTGCAACCTACTCCGGGAGTTGGGTTCATTCTTCCCAACTAACACACACATATGTATGTGCAGGATCATACATATGTGTGTGTTATAGACATTTCTTCGAAAAGAATACTATACTTTAGGTCAAAAATAAGTTATTAGAATGTTAACATCTTTTGTAAACCATTTCATATATTTTATCCTGGACGCCCTGTGAAACTAATGTGTACTGGATTACCTGAACCATGAGGATATGACACTGATTGGTCCCTGATTGGTTGCACAATTGGATTTGATATAAAAGAGTTAAATGAGAAAGTAAGTGAGGTACTTGTGGGCTAGGACATGATAAAAAAGTTCTTTAACAAAGGCAGAAGCTGTTCCTAAGAGCTCAAGTGGATTCCACTCGACAATAATCTGGGCCCTCGTTAAGGTGAGCTTTGTTCGCCTACTCCTCTCCTTCCTCCAGTTTCTACGAGGCCGTTGGCTCTTCTCTTCATAGGTGTTTACTTTTCAAACCTCACTTGTCTCATGATCATCGAACACGAATCAATAACATTTAATTTTAATATATTTATATTACTCTCGTATTTTCCTAATTAAAAAATGTATTTTTAATTTCATAGCTAAAGTTGATTTTTTTAAATCAAGGGAGATTAAATTAAATATATAAAACATGTTACTCGAAGGATTGTCCATCACTAACCACTTTTTCTCGCATCTTTTTGGCAGCATATGAATTCCTTTTTTTTTTTACTGTATTAAAAAATTAAATACATTAAGTAAATTTGATAACAGAAAATAATAACATGAAACGACTTGTTGAGAAACTACCCACTGGTAGCACTCTAAAAACAAAATGTATTTACAATAAGAGATCTCGAGGCCATCTTCTTTTCAGACGCCTCGGAGGGTTATCAGGAATAGAAGAGGAAGCAAGGTTAGAGACGAGAGGATTCGGATGGTTCTGAAGTTTATTATGGAAGGATTGGTATCTGGATTGGACCAAATCGGAAACATAAGGAACATTAAGGTCAGTATGGATTATTTTATTGGTGACAAAGTAAGGAGCATTGAGGATTTTCCGAAGGATTTTGGATTGTAAGGATTGGATACGAGAGGAATTCGATGGCTTAGTGGAGCCCCAAAGCTCAACTCCGTAAGTCCAAATAGGTCTTATTGTAGTCATGTATATAAGTCTTTTGTAATTAACTGGAAGCTTAGAGCGTTTGTCTAGTAAATGTTGGAGTAGTCGGAAACGTCGAGTGGTTTCTTGTCGTTTCAGTCTAGTATGAGGATTCCAAGTTAGACGTTTGTCCAAGTGAAGTCCAAGGTATCGGATTTGCTCAACAGGGATAAGTGGGGTATTATTAAAGGACACTGTGGGACATGAGGTCATAGGTTTACGTCGAAGGGTAAAGGTGATTTGATGGGATTTATTAGAATTTATTTTAATCCTCCAGTTTTGACACCATTCTTCAAGGCTTGTGGTGTGCGATTGAAGAGTTTGGGATGCAATGGTTGGGTCATTATTAACGGATAGGACACATGTATCATCGGCATACGTGGTAATAACAGTGTTAGGATGGGTTGGGATGTCAGCTGTATAAACTGTGTAAAGGATAGGACCAAGGATACTACCTTGAGGAACACCAGCGGACTGGGAAAAGAGGGATGAATAAGCATTATTGTAATTTACTTTTGAGTATCTATCAGTTAGATAGGAACGGATAATGAGGAAGTATGTAGGATGTAGGAATTTACGGAGTTTGTAAAGTAGTCCCGGGTGCCAGACTCGATCAAATATGAATTCCAAGTTGGAAAATCACAGTCTTTTAAGACTATCCAAGAGAGCCATTTTTTTTTTCTATCATCTTAAGAATGGAGGTGGTGCTCAGCCAGGCAATCTGCCATTGAACGAAATAAGAGACAATCGTAAGAGGTTATATCCAATGAATTAGATTAAATATAAAAATATTTTAGCTATATATATTTATGTATCGCTTCAAAAAGGAGATATTAAGTATGAACAAAAAAAAGTCAGAAATTTTTCAATGTCGAAATCATTAATATTATACACCTAACGATATAAAAAAAGAATTTGATTTAATCTACCTCTTGCAAGGTAGTATGTCTAATTTGACTGCGCTAATGCGTTTCTGTCGTGATCTGTTCATCTTCATCTACTTTCCTCTGGCATCACTTCCTGCGCAATCTGAACATTTTAATCTTGCTCTTACATCCTTGTGTTAAATGTAAGGACACAGGTCAATAATTTTATAATATCTCAATAATAATGATTATCGCTAGTTAAAAGTACCCACCAGTTAAAAGCACACATAGCAATTATCCCTTTGTTTATGTATAAATCGGATGATAGGGGTATTCGTGCAACCAGTGAAACAAATATTGTAAACTTCTTAAATGTATAAAGTTGATAATATCATTTACGGAATATGTGTTAAATGTACCCGCTAGCACATTCGATTTTAACGCAGCTTAACAACCTGTATAGTGTTGCAAACTTCGTAAACGATATTGTAAGGTTTTCATGTGTTTGATTCTTTGTTCTTTGTTTGAAAGAAAGAAAATAATTGTGTTCTGGGACATTTAGTCTCCTCCGAGTAACTATAATGAACAAACAAATGATAATTGTCTAGCGATTATGAATAATTAATAATTTACAAAGTTGTCTAACATTAATAATAAAATAAAGAAAAGACATTGTAGTAAACATATGATCTTGAAGTAGACATATGAATTTAAAGATTAATACATACGGGGAAGTTCACATATTTGTACAAATAAGCATTATGATACATACATAGATATTTATAAGAAATCGGTA